AACCCATCCCCTCCCCATGCCAGCACTCAACTTTCTTCCCCCTGTGGGGCCTCAGACCCCACAGCCTCCCCATCCCTTCTTTGCTTTCTCATACTCATTGCCAGCACCCCTTAAAATGCAACCTAAATCTGGGGGTGCCAACAAGAAACCTGTCTCCCACAGTTCTGGAGGCCAAGGCACTGGGAGCGGGAGTTGGGGGCTTCCTGTGATAGGAGCAGAGGGGTCTCTCTGGCCCCCTTCAGGGGGCTCCCCTCCTGTGACTGGCTGGGTAGGGCCGTGGCCTCCTCATCTGCCCCCATCTCTGCTTGGTCTCTGCACCTGCCCTTCCCACTGTCCACTGTGGCCCTTGCTCACCTTTTGGGTACGACTTCCACCTTCCCACCCATCCTGGACTACTTTTTTTTTTTTTTCCAGTTCTGGGAGTTGAACCCAGGGTCTCTGCACTAAGCTACAGCCCCAGTCGTTTTTTTTTTTTTTTTTTTTTTTTTTTTTGAGACAGGGTCTTGCTAAGTTGCCCAGGTTGGGTTCAACCTTGGGACCCTCCTGCCTCAGCCTCCTCGAGGGCTGGCATGATAGGTGTGCATCACCACGCCCAGCTCTCAGTCTGCTCCTGCTACCCGTTTCCATCTGCTCCTTGGTTCTCTCCCTCTGAAAAGGTTAACTCCTCTTCCCTCTCCTAACCCTTCTCACAGTCCATCCCCTGCAGGAAGCATCCCACACCTGCTGCAAGTGTTCTTACTCAGTTTTACCTAATTCACAACTAAGTGATGGGGTAAATATTTTCAGTCCCCTTAATAGACAGACGAGGATAGTGGTTCAGAGAGGTTGAGCCACCTTCCTGAGGTCACCCAGCATCAAATGGGAGAGGCCCACATCCCAGGATCCTGCCTGCTGGGAGCCCGACAGCTCCAGGAGTGGAGCTTGGTCAGGATCCACCTGTGCCACCAGACCTTGTACCTGGAACCACTGTCCCGTGTTTGCTGGGGAACCGAGGCCCCCGTAGCTGTGTACACTGCCCCTCCCCACCCTGCTAGGTATCAGAGAGCTGATACCCCCGAGCACGGTCAGGAGGAGGCAGATTTGATTGCCTTTTGCCCCTTTCCCAGGCCCTGTTCTTCACCCCGCACTCTTTTAGCCCCCCCCACAACCAACCCTGGGGATTCGGGTGGAAAGTGGGGAGCGGAAGCAGTGGTGGAGAGGACGCCAAGGGATCGGAGTCCCTGCCCAAGAGCAGAGGGAGAAGGAGACCCTGAGGAGTCCACTGGCTGCAGGGACGTCCATGCCCAGGCCACCTGCTGGGCAGTGCAGGAGCCGAGAGGATGCCTTGGTGACGGGCTGAGAAGGTGTCCACACCCAACTTGCAGAAAGGAGCTTCTGGGAACACCAGGATGAGCGCCAGATGGCAGCTGTGCCCCTGTGACTGTCCCAGTGGCGGGGACCCCCCCTCTTGGCCCCTTCTCCTGGTCCCTGTCCCATTCTCCCATCGCTTCATGTCCCCAGCAAGAGCTGGCACTTCTGAAGTCCAGGACAGACCCAGGGTGCCGAGAAGAAATGTTGCCAGGATGAATGGACGGACCGTTCAGATTTTAATTTAACAAGCCAAGAAAGCCAGGCGTGGGGAATCCCAGCGCTTTGGGAGGCTGAGGCAGGAGGAATCACAAAGTCAAGCGCAACCTGGGCAACTTAGCCAGGCCCTGTCGCTAAATGCATACATACATACATGCATACATACATACATACATACATACCGTGCCAGAGTGCAGCACTGGAGGGGGTTGGGGCAGGGAAGGCTGAGGGTGTGTATGTGGTACAGATCCTGTCGTTTCAGGGCAGGTTTAAGACACCAAGAGCCGGAGAGCCAGTTAAGTAAACGTTCACTCGGGCTGTGTCAGAGGCACAATGTCCAGAATAAGGACGGCGCTAGCTGGAGAGAGCTGACAGTCGGGTCCGGCCCAGGTGCTGCTCCCAGGGTGCTGGGAAGAGCCTGGCGCAGTGCAGAGAGCAGGGGCCCTTTCCCGAGCGCTGCTCCTCGGATGGGCACCTCGGCTGGACCCTGTGAACACCCTGTGTGTGGGGTACAGCGGTCGCATGGCTGGGAGGTGCCCAGTGGTCCCTGCACTCTGGCTGTGTTGGGCACCAGGGGAGGAAGCGTGGGAGTTGCGCAGGCCGAGTGGAGGGAGGGCCTCTCAGGCGGTGAGCTCCCCGGCCTGGCCGTGCGTGAGCAGACGGGATCAGCATCTCCAGGAGCTGCTGAAGGGATCCCTGAGTCGGTCCTGGCTTTGTTGACCAACAGGACCCAGGACCCTCCTGGACTCTGCCTCGGTCCACACGGCCTGCCACCCCGGCCCAGTCCCTCCTCCAAGGCTCCCATGGCTTTTCTAGAGGCACGGGGGTCTCGCGTCACTGGCCTGTCTGCCTCCGTGGAGCGCTCTGCTTGCGACGCTGGATTGAGCGCCCTGAGAGCTCAGGGTATGGAGACCCGACCCAACCTGACCCGACCCAGCCTGACCTGGGAGGCTGGAAGGGGCAGGACAGGAGGGGACAGGGCAGCCAGTCCAAGCCTCCTTCTGCAGCCAGCCAGCCCCTCCCAGAGGAGCTGCAGGGCCGGGTGTTTCTGGGGCTGCGAGCTGCCGAGAAGCGGGACAGGTGGGCGTCAGGCAGGCCGGGACCAGGGCCACCTCTGGTTGGTAGCTTGGAATTCAGGGTTCCTGAGGGCCAAGGGCTGAAATGTGGCGCTGCTGGGACCCAACTGACCCACTTGGGTAGAGGGAGCCCCAGCATCTCCACAGCCCCCGTCCAGGGTAGCGGACCCCTGCAGGCCAGGCAGGGCCAAGAGCCGCTGGGGTGGGCAGACATGCTTGGCATCCAGCCCCACAGCAAGCTGCTCATTAACTCCTGGCCTCAGGCAGGCCGCTTCCCCTCCCGGCCGCTTCCTCTTCTGTGCGGGGATGATAACGATCCTGCCCAGGGAGGCCGGGTGGAGATAAGTGGTCTCCACCTCTGTGGAAAGCCGCCTGTGCTCACATCCTGCGAAGCGCCATAGTTACACAGGAACGGGCTTGGGAGGCCGACAGGTCACTCCAGACAGGATGCCGGCCTGGCCTGTCCCAAGCGCTGCCTGGGGTGTGGGCAGGGCGCTGTCCTAAAGAGGAGCAGGGCGCGCTGGGCAAACACACACTGGTGCTGGGGGCTGACCCCCTCTGTGTGCCACACCCTGCCGTGGGCAGGGCCGGCGGCTCACATTCGGGGGCGGCAGTCGCCCCCCAGGCGCCTCACCCATCCGCCCCTTCCCGCCAGGAAAGCTGTCTGCTCTCCCCTGCCCTTCCTGAGGGAGAATTCCTGCTGGGGACCTCACGGGGCCAGGGGAGGGGACAGAAGGTCGGCTGCTGACTGCAGCAACAATTTGGTGTGGGGGTCCCGGGGATAAGAGCAAGCTCTGTGGCCCAGGGAACGAGGGCGATGACTTGCTAAGCCTAAGGCTCGGGCCCCGAGTGAGGACAGCTGGACGAGCCTGTCTGCCTTCACGTCCTGCTCACCATGACACCAAGGCCCGGGGGGAAGCACATGCTTATGACAGCAAGAGAGCGGCGTCAGCCAGTACGTCTCTGACGTCCACCAGCCCCCGGCTGGCCGTGGCCACCACTGTCCCTCAGCAAGGAGGAGCCCGATCCTGGCCGGGCCACACCTGCCTGCAGCTGCCCTGTGTGCTGGGACCACACAGCCAGAGGAGCAGGTGTGTCAGAGGACTGGGACATTGAGCAGACCACCACCGCCTGACTTCCGCGACATGGGACAGGCCCTGCAAGTTCCAGGGACAGCAAGGGGAGAAGGGCCTGGTGCCAGCTGGAGGGTGCGGCTGCAGCCCTTTTGCACCCACTGGGCCTCACTGCAGGGCCTCTTGGTCCTGCTGTGACCAATCTTCCCTGACAACATAGAGACCACCACCCAGCACCGGGAGGGCCTGACACACAGGCAGGGTGTCTGGAAATTGATACCCAGCAGTGGCTCTGCCCTGGCTGCTGCCTTGGGGAGGAACAGGACACAGAGCAGGAGCTGGGCACAAACAGGACCCAGAGACAAGGCCTGTCCCCAAGTTGAGGACGAACCCCGGCCTCACTCCTTCCCTGCGCCCAGTGGTCATCAGACACTGAGTTCTCCTAGATTAACCTCGCGGCTTCGATGGCAATGGCATCCTCTCCAGGTGGACTCGAGTGGAAGAAGCAGAAAGAACAGGAGGCCGGGTGTGGTGGTGCATGCCTGTAATCCCAGCACTTGGGAGGCTGAGGCAGGAGGATCATTCTGAGTCTGAGGCCAGCCTGGGCTACAAAGTGAGCTCAAGGCCAGCCTGAACTGCACAGCAAGAGCCTCTCAAAAAAAAAAAAGAAAGAACAGCTGAGGGGAAAGGGGCTCCTGCCACAGAAGGGCGCTGGGCAGGATAAGCGGCACCGGGCACTGTCAGACCTGGGGGCCCCGCTGGCCACTCTCCGGAAAAGCTGCGCTTTACAAGCCCGGCACTGGTGACATGAGTGACACTTTACACCGTGTCTCCTCAAGTCCTGTTTAATGGTCTCACCAAGACTCAAGCGTGCCGGGCTGGTTAAGGGTGCCCCACAGCCACGTGGGAGCCAGGGCCTAAGGGCACACTAGTGGCCCCTGCCTCTCGTCAGGCAGGAGGCTCGGCCAGGGCCCCAGACAGCGCACGGCCTCGGGGTCAGCCCCATCCCGCGGCAGTCGCCCTCCCAGCCCTCTTGGAACTGGGGACTGCAGCTGTCCCTTCACTTCACCTGAGCAAGTCAAGTTCTAGGCCAGGGCTTCCGGGAGACAGGAAAAAGTGACCACAGACTTGTCAAAAAAGCCAAGGCCACCCCAGACGCCCACCCCTTCCCAGAGAAGACTCCGCAGGATGACTCCACTCGCTGGGCCAGAATTTAAAAATAATTATATTAATAATAAATATGTTAAATTACATTTAAAACAATAAATAGAAAAATAAACTGATAAATAAAATCAACAGGTACAAAATGTTCCAAAATTCCAACCAAAAAAAACACACACATGAATGGACAGACAGACAGCCGACAAATGGACAGAGAGGGTGGGGGAAATGCAATCACAAGGACCCTTCACAGTTGGCGTCACGGCTCCCTCACCTGGCCACCCTCTCCCCTCCACGGCTTGGGGACCAGGAGCCTCGGGGTGACGGTGGCAGGGCCCCCAGCAGCGCAGGGAAGCACGTGGTCTGCCTTGGTGCCTTCTGCACGGCAGCCCCGGAGGCGCGACCGAGGTCGGCCGGCAAGGCGGCACCTAGACGGGCAGGTCGGTGCTGTTGTGCCGTGTCTTCCGGGCGGTGCCGTCGTCTCGGGGCAGTGCCCGCTGCAGGCTGGACATGGCCGCAGTCTTCTTAAGGTCGATCACGGCATAAGAGTCCGAGCTGGGCCCCTTGGCCCTGGGCGTGGAGGGGGTCTGGGCCCCCTTGGGCCGCTCGCCACCCCAGCCCTTGAGTTCCACCTGGATGTAATTGAGCTGCCGCGGAGGCTCTGGGCCTGAGCGGCGGAAGTCAAAGCTGAAGACCCTGGGGGAGCCGCGGCGGCGGGTCAAGGGTACGGGAAAGCCACTATGGCCGCGGGCGGTGGCCCGGGAGCCGGCGGGCTTCTGCAGCGGGGTCTCGTCCTCCTCCCCCTCGGGGAAGCCGTTGGAGGAGGGCGTGAGCCCGTCCCGCGAGTCTCCGTCATCCCCGGGCTCCCCGGCCTGCAGGTGGCCGTGGCTCTCCCACACCGGGGGCAGCGGGGGCAGGTTCTCGTAGTGCAGCAGCGTGGCACGGCGGGGGGCCGGGCCGCCCCAGCCCGGCTCCTCGGGGCTCAGTCTCCAGCCGGGGCCGCGCTGCAGCCCCCCGCCCACATTCTCGTAGGTGCACTTGGGCTGCTCGGGACACTCGGAGGGACCCTCGTTGTTGTTGTTGTGCTGGGGCGCGTCCTGCAGGCTGGGACAGAGGCTCTGGCACTTGAGCACGTGCCGCCGGGCAGGCGTGGGTCCCAGCACGAACTTCACCTGGCCTGGCTGCAGGAAGACCTGCGGGTCCCTCGGGCCAGGCTCCCGGGCCTGTGAGGGGAAGGGCGTCCGCCCCTCAGGCAGTGGCTGCAGGCAATGCCGGCTCCTGCGGTGGTCGACCTCACCGGCAGGAGTGTTGACATAGGTGTGTGACTGCAGGACGTCCACGTGCAGCAGGGCCCGGAGGAAGGGAGGGCAGGAGGGACAACGGGAGGTCAGAGGCTCAGGGGGAAAAACCTAGTTTCCCCTCCTCCCGCGCCTCCAGAACTTCCTGGTACATGGCCTTTCTTCCTTTTCTTCCCCTTCCCATGATCCTTCTTGGTAGGAGGTGGCCATGTTCTCAAACCCCGTCCCCACCCAGACACTGGCAGGGCCAGGCTGCCGCTCACCTGCTCATCGGGGGCAATGAGGGCATTCGTGGATTCCTCCCCGAGCGAGGGGTGCCGCATGCTGCTCGAGGACGGCCGCCGGGGAGCGGAGCATCGCGGGCCCTCTCCAGGGCAGCTGGGGAAGCCATTGGAGAAGCTGGAGATGGTGTATCCTAGAGCTGGGCCGGGAGACAGGCCAGGTGAGGGGTGTTTAAACCACCTGACAGCGGCTGGCAACCGCGTGCGAGTTGGGTCCTAGAACGCCTCTAACGGAGGGGCCACTCGGGGCTGAGCCCCTGTGCACCGCCACTCTGAGCTCAGCCCGAGCTGGCCGCCTCACTTCCTCCAGGAGCGCCTTCCTTGAACCACCCATAGCACCCTGCTCACCCTACACCGCCAGGGAGCCCCAGGGAAGCTCCTCAAAAGCAAGCCCTGCGGCTCTACCCTCTGTCCCTGACGGGCAGTGAGCGCCGGGCAGCTCTGGCTCTCCTGCGGCAGAGCCTTGGCCAGACACGCCAGAGCTGGCTCCAGGGGAGGCGTGTGTGGCCCAAGGAAGGAGGCAGGAAGCTCCAGACAGTGGTTTCCATGGAAACCCAACATCTTCCTGCCTGTTCCAGACCATGAGTTGATCCAAGGCCCAGGATGCCACAGCCTCAGCCAAGTCACCTGACTGGCCCAGCGCAGGCCCCAACCACCCTCCGGAGTGGCTCTGATGATGGGAGACTGTCCTGAACGAATGTCCTGGCAGGCTGGCTCCCGGCACCCACCCCTCCCCACTCGCCTGTGTCTCCAGGGTCTGCACTTGTGCTCTCGCTGGGGACCCAGGGTGGGGGGGCGCCTCACCGTTGGGCTGCTGGGGGGTCCGAGGGAGGTCGAGCTCGGCAGGGTGGCTGCTGCGGGTGACAATGACTGGCTCTTCCGTCACGTTGATGCTATTGCACTGCATCAGATCCTGAAGGAGGCTGAAGATTTCCTCGGCCCTGGAGCACTTGAATGCAAAGATCCCTGGATAAGGAGAGGAGGAGATGGAAGCCGGACGCCAGGCCCGCGCAGATGGCTGAGGAGCTGGACAAGTGCGCATGCGCAGGAGGGGTTGCCGAGCCACAGCCCGAGCCTCCTCACCCTCACATCCTCCGGGACACTCCAGAATCCCGAGTAACCGAAGCAGCTGGGCGCCAGGGGCTGTCCCCACAGCTACACTCGCTGTATCTTTCAGGGAGCTAGGGATGGAACCCAGGACCTTGTACACAGTAGGCAAGGAATCTGCCCCAGCCCAACCCACCGCATCCACTACCCTGGGGCCAAAACAGCCCTGCAGCTATATCCCCCGTGTATGTGGGCGACATCGCCATGGACAATGATGGCATGAGATGCACAGGCCTTCCCCATCTTTACCTGCCTGCCACCCCTGCTCTCCAGAAAAACGAGCCCTGCCAGTTCCCAGCCCTTAGCCCGACACATCTGCCCAGCAGTGCAGCCACAGCTAGAGCATCTGCGCTGGTTACAGCTGTCACTGGATAGCTAGCCCAGCGCCTGGCTACAGGGTGAAGGCCTCCTGTGCACAGGTCCCTGCCTCCTGGAGCGTGAGCTCAGGGGCAGGAAGCAGGAAGGACAGGCACAGCTGAAGGCCGACCTGTCGGGACAGGCGAGGGTCTGGGTGCACTCGGCTTCTCAGTCCTTCCATCTCCAACTTGGCCGCTCAGTGTCCCGGGAGCGGCAGGACACTGTTGGGGCACACCGAACTCGGGATCCTCGGATGGCCCCGGCATAGGGCCACCTGCAGTGTTGCCATGATGGGACCTGGGGCTTGGGGAGGCCACCTGGGGCGAGTGTGTGTGCACAGACCCACAACCAACACAGCACAGGCTGCAGATGGGGCAGTAAGGACATTATTAAATGACACCGTCACATCCAGTATGGACAGCTGTGGTCTGCAGGAACAGGATAGGAAGGACAGTGGAAGCAGAAGCACTGCTCTGCCAGGGGATGGTGAGACCCAGCAGATACAGAAGCCTAAATTTTGGAAGAGGCCCATGCCAGGGCCTGGGCAGCCAGACACAGATGAAACTTCCCTAGGGACCAGGTGGCCTCCTCTCCCTCTGCTCATTCAGCATTACTGCCTCTGCCCATGACTCCCAGGCCCGGGCACGAGGGGGCAACGTGACCTGCGGGAATGTCTTGCGGCTTATCCCTCTGCAGTCACAGGCCCTACCTGTGGTCAGCGCCTGCCAGGCAGGACACCCTCTGTAGGGCTTACGCCTGGACCCTCGAAGTCAGGGCCAGAGCTGCAGCAGCCAGAGCCCTGATCCCACGAACAGGCCCCTCCCCATCTCTGGCCGCAAGGAGGGAAGGAGGGTGCCCCACGGGCGGGACTCTCAGTTGTGGGCAAAGGTGAAAAAGTCCTGCCTCCCCCATCTCACTCCACGGAGCCAGTGTCCCCCGCCTGCCCTGTCCCCCTCCTTATTCACAGGCTCGGGGCACAGGACTGGAAGTTGGGGAAAGTGTGTCCCCACTGAGGGCAACAAAGCCCTTTGGAGCTGGACCAGCAGGGCAAGAGTCATGTGCGGCTGTGGAAAGGCCTGGCCAAGGACAGCGACCTGGTCCTACCAGGCTGTGCAACACGGGGGCCTGGCTGGAGTCCCCGTGAGTGAAGGGACGAAGAGCCATGGCCTGAGAGTCTACAAAGTCCTGCAGTAACAGGCTGTGTGCCCTGGGCCAAGACCCTGCCCCGTGCTGGGCGACTCCTGCCAAGTCCAGGGCTGGGTTGAGTGTGGAGCCCCCTGTTGAGGCCACAGCGAACTTCCCAGCCCGCCAGAACACGCGCTGAACCTCCCAGCCCAGCCCAGCCCAGCCCAGCCGGCCGGCGCACTCACCCTGGCCGGTCTGGCAGCGGCGGCCACTCTCGAAGGAGAAGAGGTTGGAGTCATAGCCGTAGCGCCGCAGGCAGAGGTAGGGCCAGCGCACGGCCTCGCGCCGCTGCAGGTGCAGCACCAGCTCGCTCTGGGTCAGCTCCATCACCCCCACACCCAGCTCCACCCCCTCGTCATCCACGTTCGTCACCTGGGGGGACAGGGTCACGAGTGAGACCCAAGCCCCCCGAAGGCAGGGGCACGCAGGGCTGGGCCAGAGGGAGGCTGGCACTCTCATGTGCCCGCCCCAGACACCACGAACCCCTGCCACTGCAGCACGGCGGGCAGAGCGCAGCCAGATCCACCTGAGCTCTCAGGGCAGATCCACCTCTGGGGCCTCCGTTTCATCATCTGGACACAGAGGGGAGAGGCAGGTAGCTGACCTCCAAGACCAGGCGATTAGATGACCGATGTTAGGTGACTTGTGGCAGCCCGTGGCTTAGTATCCGACGACCAGATGTTCATGAGGAAGGGGGTTAAGTATAAATGTACAATTGTGCCGGGCCTGGTGGTGCAAGCCTGCAATCCCTGCACACTAGAAGGCTGAGGCAGGAGGATCACAAGCTCCAGCCTGACCCTGTAATTTAGTGATTTAGCAAGACCTTGTCTCAAAACTTTAAAAAATCAGCTGGGCGTGGTGGCACATGCCTGTAATAATCCCAGCACACTGGGTGGCTGAAACAGGAGCCTGGTTAACTATGCAACAACAGCCTGTCTCAAAAAAATTTTTTTTTTTTTGGTTTTTCTCCGGTACTGGGAATCGAACTCACGACCTTGCGCTTGCCAGGCAGGCGCTTTTGCCACTGAGCTAAATCCCCAGCCCCTGTCTCAAAAATTTTTAAAAAATCAAAAAAGGTTGGGGATATAGCTCAGTGCACAGGTCCTGGGTTCAATCCCCAGTATCCTTTCCTTCCCCTTCTGGAACAAACCAAAATTGTAAGTCCTGGGTAGAGTCAGGTCTAAGGCATAATCAATAGATTCTGCGGCCACCTCCCACAAGGGTGAGCTCCCAAGGACGCCCTCTTCTGGTGAGTAGGGCAACTACACCCAATGTGCCCAGCGTGGGGAGGTGGCGCCCCCTATAGGGCAGGCCCAGCCTCATTCCCCATAGCAAACCACACACACAGGGCTCACCAGGCACCAAGCACAACTTTTTCTCCAAAAAAGAGGTGTATACATAGTGACAGAAATGCAGGCAGCAACTAACACTCCTAAAGCACCACTCTGTTCCTGCAGGACAGCATTTCTTTTTGGTGCCAACAAGAGAAGTCAAAAGTGGCAGAGGTCTGGGCCTTTCTCTTTTTTTTTTTTTTTTTGGTTTTTCTCCGGTACCGGGAACCGAACTCACGACCTTGCGCGTGCCAGGCAGGCGCTTTTGCCGCTGAGCTAAACCCCCAGCCCCGTCTGGGCCTTTCTCACCCAGGCTACCTCCCCATGCCGGACCTCAGCCTGTCACCTCACTGTCCCCGGAGAAGCTGTGGCACTCGAGAGCTCAGGGCTGCACCCAGAAAGCTACGGGGAAAGGAAGGGAGGAGGCTCTGGGTACCTTGAACTTGGTGGGGTGGTTGTCGGGGACGCTGTCTCTGCTCAGGCAGCCGCAGCAGCCCCCCATGGTGTCAGCGCAGCTGGCCTGCCCTAGGAGGAAACGGGACAAGCAGGTTACCCGCCTGGCTCCAAGCGGCCTGGGCCCTGCAACTGCCGACTCTGTCCAGCAGACTGGAAGACACAGACCCTCCGTCAAGGAATTCACCCTCATCCGGGGCAGACACTTTGGCTAAACATTAATTCAAGCTGGACAGTGCTGAGCACTCACGTAGGGGGATGGAGAGGCCTTCTCGGAAGCATCCATCTGGACCTTGGAAAGTATGCAGGATTCCAACCCACGGGATGGGATGGGAGGGAGGGGCCGGAAGTGACCAAGCCCTCACTTGGACTCAGCTAAGACACCGTCCCTTGCGAGGCCCAGATACCCTGGCCTATACCCCTCCCCTTCCTCTCTTTATCCCTTACCCATTTCCCCTTTATACCAGTTTTCTCTCTTCCTCCTTAACCATTATCCCAACATCCACCTGAAATGTATCTTTTTGATGTCTTCTTCAAATGAATTGTTACATTATGAGCATAAGGACATATTCAAAAGACTGAACACTTACAACAGCACATTTTATAACCATGGACCCTGCTTACGGGGGGATGGTGAGGGATAAAGAAAGACAAAAAAGAAATTTACAGGTTCTGGGGACTGGGAGGGTAGTGCCTCAGATTGGGCAAAAACAGAGACCTCTTGGGCTGGCCCACTTTTATTAACCAGTGAGAGGCGCAGGGGAGGAGTAGTATATTTTTCCTGGAGCCACAAGTACAGTAAGAAGGAGGTAGCAGAATGAGGAACAAGTTTGCAAAAGGCCCCAGGTTTGATCCCAAAAACCACAAAACAAAAACAAGCTGGATATGCTGGGTGTGATAACACATGCCTGTAATCCAAGCACTCAGGAGGCTGAGGCAGGAAAGTTCCCAGCATGGACTACATGGTGAGACCCCGTCTCAAAACAAAAACAAAATGCTGGCTTTGCTCCCCACTGACCAAAGGGGTGACTGCGGGTCTATTTTACTCTTCCCTGCAGGACTGTGGCACATGGAGTACGTCACAACAATCAGGGCTGTGCCCAAGATGCAGAGGATACCAGCCAGGCCTGAGTCACTGAAAGGAACAAGAAACACAGGGACGAAGCCAGGTGTGCTGTGTGCCTGTCATCCCAGCACTCAGAAGGCTGAAGCAGGAGGATTGCAAATTTGAGCCTGGACTGGGCTGCATCGGGAGCCCTGCCTCAAAGAAAAGAGAAACGCACCTTTCAGCCAGAACCACCACCTTCCAGTAATGGGCCAAAATGACAAACACAAAGGGAAAGAGGAGGGGAAACGCTCTCCAGGCCTTTTAGAAAATACGGGCTGTTCCTTTGGCCACACACATGTGAATCTACAAAAAGCGTTGATACTGCAGACATCAAGGGAATGGGTACCGTGCAAAAAGGAAGGCCACACAAACAGCACGGCAAAACTGCAAGAGCCTACAGTGTTACCCCTGCCCACAGGACTAATGTTCATATTGAGCATATTACACACTCAAAGAGTTGAGATAGTGTCCTCAGATGTGTCAAGGAAAATGATCAGAAAAAGCAGGCCAAAGAGTAAGGTACCTGGGCTCAACAGCGCCAGCCTGCCCCTCCCAGAGAAGCGGACTTTGTGAGAACCAATGGGACGGAGCCTGAGCTGCCGGAACCTGTTCCCTATGAATTTATGGCATAAGCTGGGGATGGAGTTCTGCCACTCAGCACCTAATTAGCGGCTAAATGTTCTAGGCCCTGCTTATAAAATAAAAAATCGTCCTGTGTTGTGAGGATGGTTTTCGTAACTGAACAGGTGTGTGGCACCCTGACCTCAGAGAAACAAGTATTTGGAGCAGATTCTCACTGTACCCAGTTAACTGTGTCAGGTCTTTCCTCTTTGGTGTTTTTCTTGCTGAAAGATTTCTTGCTGAGGTACTGTGCAGGTGTACAGCCAAATGGCCAAGTATGTTTGAAATACTGGTATTGGTTTGAAGATCCTCTAAATGGCGGGGCGCGGCGGCGCATGCCTGTAATCCCAGGGAGGCTGAGGCAGGAGGATTGTTGTGAGTTCGAGACCAGCCTGGGCTACAAAGTGAGCTCAAGGCCAGCCTGAACTGCATAGCGAGACCCTGTCTCAAAAAGACCAAAAAAAACCTTCTAAATCACCATGGGGAAAAGAGGTATCAAAGTAAGTGGAAGTCAGTGTATGGCATTTCAGTTAAACAAATTGTTTATTTCTGGGTTTGGGTTTTTTTTTGTACCAGGAATCGAACTCAAGACCTCCCGCTTGCCAGGCAGGCGCTGTGTCGCTGAGCTAAACCCCCAAACCCCTTAAACAAATTGTTTAAAGCACCCAAAAGAGAAAGAGACAGAGAGACAGACCCATGGACCAGTTCTAATCCAGTTTTAAAGGGTTAACTTGCTTCGAAATTAGTGGGATTAGCTCTCTAACATTTCTGCTGAGCATGGAAAGGCTTGAGCACTCCAGTGACCCATACCCCCCCAAACATGCCAACGTGTAGCTCTTACCTCAACCAGGCCATTAGAGGACCTGACCATGGGAGGGGCATGGGGAAGGGTGCCCACTTTATTCCCCCTGTCCTTGGTGGGATGTCATGGCGGAGTCTGCAGAGAAGTCACCTGGATCCCTCTGGGACACACCTGGGGCTCACCTAGCACAGGAGACAGAGATCACAGATTAACAGAAACCCTCCAGCCACACCCCTAACTGTTGGAAACTGACCAGCTGACTGTCCATCCCCCCAGGACATCTATTCTGAGTTCACCAATGAAGAAAGTAAGATCATGGGCAAAGGGACCACAGATTTCAAGCCCCTCACCAGCTCCCAGCATCAATAAATTTGATGTGTACAAGAGTCCAAGACCTACTAAGTCACCTTTACATCCTCTCTGAATTCTGTTACAAGCAACACTCAAAACACCACCCTACCTTTGCAGAGAATTTTAACTCTACAAGCAGCTTTCTCAGAAGGACACTGGAATGCACTAGAAATTCCAGATGCCAATATTCCAATATTTGTGTTTCTACTTGTTTTTCTTTGAGACAGGGTCTCACTGTGCCGTTCAGACTGGCCTTAAACACATCAGGTAGCCTAGGCTGGCCTTGAACTCACAGCGATCCTCTTGCCTCAGCCTCCTGAGTGCTGGGATTACAGGTATGCACCACCATGTCCAGCTGGACGCCACTATTCTACCCCACGTTGTTACTCCTTAGTATCTGGGAGATTCCAGAGGGTCAATCCCTCTCACCATGCCTGATTCCCACCCCAAGGTCTTAGTTTTTAAGGGAAACATCTGTAACTGCGGGGCTTTTAGCTGAAGTAACTTTTCGAGATAGGTATGTAAGGTCAACGTTCAAAAAAAGTTTCTTCTTCCAGGACTGCCTCTTTCAATCTCGCATTTGGAAGATGGACTGACTTGACTGTTCCCCAAGCTTGGAGAGGCTCAATTTTAACATAAACATTAGCAACAAGCCAACATTTTGAGGGCATCTGGCCCCAGGTAGACGAGTCAACACAGCTGGGTTTTGCAAACCCTTAAAAAAATCCCACTTCCTGCACTGGAAAAATATTCCCAAGACCGGTACCCTGCATGCTACGCTTGCATAACTCCCAAGTAGAAGGACCCCCACCCTCGTGGTCTGACTTGTTCTTTGGAAGAAGGAGCAGGTGCAGCAACTGTGCACAGCCTGAAAAGTCAGGTGCCCGGGGAAACACTGGGCTTAAGCTGCCTGGCAGTGAGTGACGTGCGAAGCCAGAACTACCGGCAGAGCCTTCGGTAGGTTACCTGTCCTAACTCCATCTCTTTTTCTGCAAGGGGGGACACATCATCAGATAACCCATCCAGGATTACGCTGGACAGGAGGTTGGGAGGAGGCGCTGATCTGGGACAGGTATGGATTGAGGACAGGAGGTACAGACCCTCAGAGGGACTAAAGCTGTGTAAGATGGCTTGGGGCAAGGAATGTAGGTAAGAATTTTGGATTTAGGCATGGAGCAAAGGCAACGGTGGGGACGCTCAGGAAGGATCCAAGGAATTTCAGGACGTTGGCAGCACTGAGAGGCACCCCCCAAAGAGTGGTGCGTGTGTGGGCGTTTCGGGTCTGCGGAGTGAGGGGGTGCGGGGGCTCCAGGGTGGGGGAGGGTGGGGCCTGGGCGGAGAAGCTGCCTGGTTCGGGGCTATTGGGGGATTTCTGGACGCCCGCAGGGAATGGAGGAGGTCGGCCGGGAGTCCAGCCTGGTCCCCGCCCCCAGCCCCGGGGCTCTGCAGCCCGCCCGCCCGCCCGGGCTTCCTAGGGAGGGAGCGGAGACTGCAGCGCGGTGCGACGCGGTC